CAGCTGATGAGCTGTTAAGATACGATGATCTCTCCATTGACAATGCAAATACAATTCAGTATCATCCATGGGATCCATTTTATGCGCCAATTCAAATGGAGGCGTACAATCCGGTGGAAGCAATACCACCTCACCACCAGTATGACAACCGATTATTGATAATCGGTTAAATGATGAAATATATTACCCGGCATACCCGAACAATGTGGAGCTCGCAAGGATTCATAATGTTAAGTGCAATGTTTTCGAACATTTCGAGATAATTGATGGAGAATACATTAATATTCTAGAGGGACTAGAATTATATACGGAAGTTTTTTCTCCTACAGAACAACAGGAGGTACTTGATTGTGTATCTGACCTCCAAATCAGAGGCAAGGCAGGATTGTTATGCGGAAGGACATATTCGGAACCTAGAAAATGGATGAGAGGAAAAGGTCGCATCACAATACAATGCGGCTGCTGTTATAATTACAAAATAGACCAGCAAGGAAATCTTCCGGGAATCCTACAACATGAGCAGGTGGAACCGATGCCACCCACAATAAAATGGATGGTTACACGATTAGTCCAATGGAGAATAATGCCATCGAGCTGTATTCCTAACAGTTGTATAATTAACATCTATGAAGAAGGGGATTGCATTCCCCCCCATATTGATCATCATGACTTTGAGCGTCCGTTTTGTACAGTCTCTTTTGTCTCAGAGAGCAGTATCCTGTTTGGAACGGATATAGATATCACTGGTCCAGGAGAGTTTCGAGGATCTGTTGAAATTTCATTACCAAGGGGATCTGTCTTGATTCTAAAAGGAAATGGAGCTGATATAACAAAGCATTGTATTCCAGGAGTTCGGCACCGTCGGGTGTCAATAACTTTCAGGAGGATGATTGATGATAAGACTCCATATGGATTTCAGCCCGATCCAGAGCTCGAACAATTGCAACCATATGAGCTATAAACTCGTTGCACCACTAGGCTATCCCATAATAACAAGCCTAGAAGGTCAGCTTGTTTAGGAGCTCATGTAGTTTGCAAAAGAACTTCTACTGATAAATGTACAGATGATGCAAATGTACAGCCTGTGATATGAAAGCAGTTGATTTTGTACTCTATATTATGTACTCATCAATGTACTAATTATGTGAATAGCATGATGTACTTTCATCTTTTGAGATGTATACATGATATATTGTAAGAAATGACTGTATGAATCAGTAACAAAATTTCATAATGAACGAATTAAATTTGCTAAATAAGTTTTCTCAATCTTGAGAATTCCTTGTTTATATAGCGTGACCTCGTTCGGTCTACATCTCCACGGAATCACACATTTTACACAATGTTATTTTCTGTGATATCCCTATGGAGTCACAAATTCTATATGATACTTGCAAATGAATCTTGCAAATCATTTTCAAAAATAACATAAATTTTTTTTACACTTCATGCTTTCTGAAACACATGATATTTTAAATCAGTCTGATAATTCTGATTTACTACTTAAGAGTATAATTGATCCTATAATTTCAATTTCTACTCTAAATCAGTTCAATATTTCTGATTCAAAATTGATCCGATAATTTCAATTTCTACCTCAAATCAGTCCAATATTTCTGATTCAAAATTGATCCGATAATTTCAATTTCTACCTCAAATCAGTCCAATATTTCTGATTCAAAATTGATCCAATAAT